CGTACTCTTGCCAGGGCAGAGTTATGAATGAATTCTTCCACTCTGCTTTAAACCACATCTGAGGCTGCTTGACTGGTGTCTGGCTTCAGCGGGCCACATTTTGGGATATAAACAGTTTACAGAGCAGCCTTCAGTTGGCCTCTACTTGTGAAATAAAGAGCCAGGCATTGCTACAAAACCAAAAAAGAAAAAAAAAAAAAAAAAGGAAAAAAGAAAAAAAAGGAAAAAATGCCTTGCTTCCATGTGTTCTGCCCCTGCCTGCATCACCCCCTCCCTGGGCCAGCTGGCACGGTCCCCAGGCTGCCACAGCCCCAGTGTGGGCACGGGAGCAGGGCCAGGCTGGCAGCTGCCTTGCTTGAGGCTGCGCAGGCTGGATGAGGAAAAAATGGGGCGCTTGGAGAGGGCACCTGCCACAGGACACCTCCCCCGCCCCCCGCAGCCCTAAAATACACCCTGCTTTTACTGCAGCAGAGGGCCAAACTTCCAAGGGTTTGCAAGGTTAAAGGAGCCAGGAATCCCCCCTGCCCATCAAGGGACCGCCAGCCACTCTGCAGTGACCTCCCCGGAGCAAAGCAAAGCTCATGCAAGGTATTTAAAGTGCCTAACATGGGGGTTTTCGGCAGCAGAGGTGCCCGAGCTGAACGGAGGTGCCTTGCTTCCATGATTCTGTGTGATTCTCTGTGATTCCGTGATTCTGTGATTCTATGCATTAGTATTGCCGCTCTTTGGAAAGAAAGGATTTGCTCACCCTCCAGGTCAAACACTTTTACATGTCCAGGAGCGCCCTTTACAAGCCAAAGTTTTATTTGTTTCATAAACAGGTAAAATTATATTAATGTAAAACAGGTAAATGGACAAAAGTAAAACACACAGCACTGAACACAACGCTATAGAGCACTGACATGTAGAAGTGCAGTTCCCTCCCTCGTGCGGTGCCCTCCCCCTCCCCGGTCCCCCACGAGTTGCTTGAAAAGCCTAATACAGAGGTCCAGAATCTGATTCAGCTTAAACATGATGTACAGGTCACAGTACTGAATCATAAAGGAACGATAAGAGAGTAACTGTCTCGGAAAGGGGGAAGGTAAAAGAGTTCCCCCGTCTCTTCTTTTCCTTCCTTTTTTTAATTTTTAAACAAATAGGCTAGGAGGAAAGGGGGGAAAATCCATGGAAATAAACACTTCTTCACTCCTATATATATATAAAAAAGCAGGGTTCTCGGTGAACACAAAATTCTATAAAACTACCATTGATCTGTGTCATTTTCTCCCCATTTTTTTTCTTCTTTTTAAAAGTTGCTTTAAAAAGGATAAAAAGTGCACAGACACCCTTATAAGGCACAAACAGATCTTCTGTACAAATCATATATCATTGGACTGTTAAAAAAAATAGCGATACAAGTACTAACAATTAAATCTGTAAGAGGCTACCTTTTCCTGGAAATCTTTTTTTTAAGAGGCCTATTTTGGAAAATTCCTGTTGCTTTCGGACAGGCAGGGTGGCACGACCACTGCTCTCACGTCCCGCTCGCTGCACAGCCGCACTCCGGACCCTGACTGAGCTGGCTCCTTGCTGGCCCCACGGCACGCTGCCCTTCTGGAAACCAGCCTCAGCTGCTACAGCAAAAATTCAGCCTGTGCAATGTGTCCTGACCAGCTCGGACACAGCCTGGGGTGGGTTCGGAATTTCTCCTTGCTGGCTTAAGAAAAAAAAGTTACACAAAAAAATCCCAACCACTCACCCCAGGCACGTAACTGGCTCTGCTCATTGAGGACCTGTGGTGCCAACCAAGCAAATGGGCTCTGCTCGTGCACGTAGCTGTGTGCAGCCGCCGAAAGGGACCGGGTACCCCCGAAACCGGGACAGCGGCCCCAGGGATGGCTGCAGGCGTTTGCTAGCCCGGACATGGTCCAAGCCAGCATCACTCGCTGTGGATTCAGACAACTTTCCTTGAATTCCTCATCGTGCAAAGGCTTCCTGCTGCAGCCCATTCACCAGGCAGGCGCTAACCCACCCGGGCTTTCATCCCACGCTCACATACTTTGCCATCATCATGCTCTTGGTGCTGTGCCCACCGACCGCAGCCAGACCCTGATCTGCAGACATGGGACCTGAGAGGTCTCTGCGAAGGCAACATCTGCGGTCCCCAGGTGGAGGGCAGCCTGGAGGCCCAGGCAAGGCCGGAAAGCTGCTGGAAAGCTGCCCTTGCTGCCTCCTTTTGCAAAGGTGTACGTGAACTCGCGCCGCAGCCGCAGTGCCAGCTCTGCTGAGGGCTGAGCACGCCCGGCGGCACAGCCAGCAGCATGAGCCGCGTTCCCAAAAAGGGCTCTGTAAAGCCGGCAGGCTCTCATGCCAATGCAGCAGGGCAGTGGGTGAGAGATCTCACTCTATGTCAGCCTCTCATTTACACACTTAATTAAAATGTTAATTAGCTCTTCAAGGTTTTCTCTGTGTGCTGTGAGCTGGCAGCCACAGCCCGCTGCAGGAGCTGCTCCGCTGGGTGTTCTCTCCCCGATGGCAGAGCGGGGCTGGGATGGGGCTGAG